CGCTTCTTTGACCTGGGTGCCATAATAAATAAACAAATAAGCAGCGCTTTCGCTCCCCTCTGTTTCCCCAAAAAAAAGAGTTTATTTTGTTAAGGAGCGGTCTGCAGGAAGGTAAAACCGGCTAAGTACATCCGCTATCAATCACCAACGGAGAGAAATCGCCATTTTGGAGTCCGTTTAGACAAAGAAGTCTCTAAGACAGATGGTGCTGGTATTTAAGATAGTAATAAAAGCATAAATCTCACAGGAGTGGGACCCGCCCGTATTAATCCTGGCTTGAAACAACTTTGCTTTGTCCTGGGGGGGGGGCTCGCCTGTCTGGGGCTGAAAAAAAAGGCAGCTGAGAAGAACTGGCTGGAGATAAAAGCTCCGCTCACGCTGGATCTAATCTCTGTCCACAGCCAAAAAAAAGAGAAAGGCTGTGAATTACGAATAGACCCTAGCACACAGAGCTACTCCCTGCCCCTTTATAGCCAAAAAGGGGTGATATCTATGATCTTATTTAGATATACAGACCAGATCTCTGAGAGGAGCTCGGTTGAGCCCTCCTCGGCAACAGGCTCCGCCCCCCCGGAAGCCGATATCCTAGATTAAGCTAAATCCAAAAACATCAGAGAATCAACCTGGCACTCAGACAAATTGGCCATCAACAAGCACAGAAATAAACAACATCTACATACCACTCAAAAGAAACAATCAAAGGGAAAAAAGACCAAAACTCCTCACCAACAATCAACATCCAGAAGAGCAGAGATTAATTCCAAGATTAACAGTGGACCAACAATCAAGATAACAATACCCCAATCAAGGAACTATGAATACTAAATAAAGGAATTAATTGTGAAAAAAATGTCATTAACCTTAGCTTAAATATAATCTCTCTTTAAAATAATCAGTGCAGAAACTCCTGCTTTGAATTATAATAGGAATTAAGTTTATACTGTAGGCCCGTGATGGCGAACCTATGGCACACATGCCACAGGTGGCTCGCGGAACCATTTGTCAGGGCACGCGAGGCATTAAGCTGTCAGCTGGCCAGTCTTCAATCTTCTTTTGAGGCCTTTTTTCCCCTCTCGAGGCTTCGGGAGCCTTCAGGAGGCTTTCCTAAAGGCTCCGGAGGGCAAAAAACAATCCCATGAGCAAACCGGAAGTCACTTCCAGGTTGCTCGTAGGGCCAATTTTAGCTCTCCGGAGCGTTCAGGAAGCTTCTCTGAAGGCTCCGGAGGGCAAAAGATGACCCCACGAGCAAACTGGAAGTCGGTTCCCAAACTTCCGGGTCACCCATAGGGCTGGTTTTTCATGCTCCAGAGGCTACAGGGAAGCTCCTGAAGCCTCCGGAGGGCCTCCAGGGGGCGGGGGAGGCTGTTTTCGCCCTCTCCAGTCTCCTATAAAGTCTCTAGAGCCTGGGGAGGGTGAAAAAGGTTACTAAAAAGTATAAAATATGTTTGCATGATAATGTTTATTACTGTATGTTACATGTCCTTCTCTGAATGATTCATTAATGAACTATAGCACAAAACACATTTTATAACAATGTGTATGTTCCCTAAGCATGAAGGAAAATGATTTAGTATTTTTTACTTTCCACAACAAACAAAATATTATATATTAGTATTAGACATGATGATGGTGGTTGATGATGATGATGATAGGCACAAGTATCTCTAGCTTGTTACTATGCATGTTAAATACATGTAAAAGGGAATTGAGAAACTCATCACCTACCATGTAAACATGAGCAGTAGATGTAACTACTAAAAAAGCAAAAGTTCAGGGTGCATTAATGGAAAGAGCCCAACTCATGAGAAGCAATTGTTCTATGTAGTCAGATCCCATTTAGAATACTGTGTCCAGTTTCAAGCACCACAATTAAAAAAGGACAGCAACAAATTAGAGCACATTCTAAGCGGGAAAGAGCTCTCAGAATAGGACATTTTAAATAGTGAAAGCCTGGAACCTATGCCTATGAGGAAGGGTATCTTTATTAAAAAGACATTTGAGAGGGGAATATGATAGCATTTTAGAAATATCTGAAAAGCTATTACATAGAAAAGGAAGATGATTTATTCTATATTCCTCTAGAGCAGAGGTGTCAAATTCTATTTCATTGAGGGCCGCATCAGGAGGGGTGGGAGACGGGGGGCATGACCAGGGTGGCTATAGCCAGCTTGACATCACTTGTGTCAGAGACACCTGTGGTGCCCTGAATGCTCTGCCAGTGAAAATGGGCTGCTGAGCTATGTTTTTGAATGTGACGGTCTTCTGCAACCTTCTGCAGTGAAAATGGAGCTAGAGGGGGCGTGTGTGGCCCTCCCGAGCTCCATTTTCACTGGCAGAGGCACTGCGGGCCAATCCTTCACTGTTTCCAGGGCGGCCCTGTGGGCTAGATCTAAGCACCCCGCAGGCCAGATCCAGCCCTGGGCCTTGAGGTTGACACCCCTGCTCTAGAGAACAGGACCAGATGCAATGGAATAAAACTGCAAGAAAGGTTCGTGATAGATTTCCAGATGAATCAGTGACTATACAGTGTGACAGCCAGTGGTTCAGACTGCCATAAGTGATGAGTTCTCGCTTACTAGAGATCTTCAGTCTATGGTTGGATAGTCATCTGCTATAGATGCTGTAGTCATGTGAGTCCTGCATTAAGGAAGTGGATAAATTAGATTAATTTCAAAATACATTTCACCTCAATAATACTATTGTATGAAATTAATAGAGAATCTTTTATCTGTTTTTTTTAAGGGTTAGATGCTAACCCTTATATAACTTATATAACATCTCTGGATTGCTTGCTTATCCTTAAATAGAGTAAAGGGGGGGGAATCTTTAACATGGCAAAAAAAAATCCCACAGATGGGGTAACATGTTATGATTGGGCTGCTTCAGCCAGCTATAAAAATTGCAGTCTTAGAAGCAATACCATAAGTAGTGTTATGCAAATTGTAAGAATACATTAATATCCGAGGTGCCTCACATGCTAATTAGCAGAATTTTCTTTTCTTTATCCACAGGAGGTATAAATCATTAATAACCCTTCTACTTCAGCCTCCCTTAATAGGTGGCACATTTGCATATCTACCTGGTAGTCCGACATTAAGCTCTAATCTTAACTTTAGCCATCTGCGTATGGATACACTATTCTCTCCTTTGACTTAAAAGATGGGAAGCACATAGATCGATATGCTTTCATTTGCTTATAGCAATGGCAATAGCACTTAGACTTATATACCACTTCATAGTGCTTTTACAGCCTTCTCTAAGCAGTTTACAGAGTCAGCATATCCTCATTTTACCCACCTCGGAAGGATGGAAGGCTGAGTCAACTTTGAGCTGGTGATACTGTATTTGAACTGCCAAACTGCAGCTAGCAGTAAGTTGAAGTAGCCTGCAGTACTGCACTCTAACCATTGTGCCACCTCGGCTCTTGCAACTGCTGCACCACCTTGCAACAAATCTTAGAACATAATTTAGTACACAAATGATGTCAAAACTTTAATAGAATCTATAAGAGTATTGAGATCACAACCTGTCCTGTTCCTCCTGTGAATGTTATGGCGGAACAAATCTGACTTATCCATATCCAAAGCCCATTTTCTAAAGATCATGTTATAGTGAACTCAGGTTAAAAACATAGTTTCCATTCTTGGATTTTGTTGGCTATGTACATTTTACCTTGTTCATAAATTCACACGTGATTTGGGTATCTAGGCAATTCTTTTTTTAACTCTAGCCATGTAGACATATAAATCATGTCCATGTAATGAGAGGCAGCCAGGCAGCAAATATTAAATACAAATCCTTCCTCCTTGCTCTGCCTTGCAGCACAGGTTACACAAGAAAAGTAAGATCTTACCCAGTCAGTTATTTCCTGAAAACCATTTTTCTTTGCTCCCATGGCTTCTCTTGAGTTTTGCCTCCAGTAGTTGATTGAGATAAGATGGCAGTAGCTGCATACTTCTGTCTTATCTCCCTTGTTTGCATCCCCTAGGCACAATGGCAAAGGAGATTGGTTTGGGAAAGTAGATAGCTCTGCCAGAGTGTTTGGCTTCTTTCTTTCTTTTATTAATTAATTTTTATTAAAGAAATGTTTACAGAATAAAAACAATACAAATTTTAAAAAAGAAAATAAACAGAAAGAAAAGAAAATAATTAGTAAATGAGAAAAAAATAAAATGAAAGAGAAAAGGAATAAATAGAAGGTTATAAAGGAGTGACCAGCAGTTATAAAGCATTTATATTTTATCCCCTCTCTAAGGTTAGATTGTGGCTCCCTTTTTTCATAGCCTATCTTTTGTAATCATCCAACTCATAAATCACAAGTTCATTTTTTAAAATTTTCAGCAAAAAGCTCATAAATAGTTTCCATTTGTTGGCAAATGTAGTTACTGAGAGCTTCTTTTTCTGATCAGTGAAGCAAGCAGGCACCTTATGATCTTACTCACTGAACGTTGCCCCTAGTGATGGTACTTTGGTGTGTATAGATTAATCAAATTAATCAAAGTGAATAAATTAGTGTATTGGGAAAATACTATGGACATAGTTTACTTAGAGTTCAGTAAGGCGTTTGACAAAGTAGACCACAGTTGCCTCCTTGGTAAGATAGAAAAAAATGTTGGAAAGACAGGATCACTACCAGACAGACTTAAAACAGGCTGACCAATCACACTCAGCATGTAATTCTCAATGGAACTACATCTACGTGGAAGGAAGCATGAAGTGGAATACCTCAAAGTTTTGTCTTAGGCCCAGTACTCTTCATCACTTCATAAATGATTTGGATGCGGGGATAGAATGGGAACTCATCAAATTTGGAGATGACACCAAGCTGGGGGGAATTGCCAACATCTTAGAAGATAGACTGAAGATTCAGAAGAATCTTGACAGACTTTATTGTTGGGCTCTATCCAACAAGATGCAGTTCAGTGGTGAGAAAAGTAAGATCCTGCACCTAGGCAAGTAAAATCAAATGCACAGGTATAGAATAGGTGATACTTCGCTCAACAGTAGTGAAAGGAATCTCTGTGTCCTGGTGGACCACCACTAAGTATGAATCAGCAGTCTACTGCAGCTTCCAAAAAAGCCAATGCAATCCTAGGAAGGATCAACACAGGGTTAGCACCAATATCACATAAAGTGATAGTACACTAGGGAGACCACACTTGGAATACTGTGTCAATACAAAATGCTGAGGTCCTAGAAAGAGTGCAGAGAAGAGCAACCAAGATGATAAGGAGTCTGGAGACTAAACTGTATGATGAATAGTTAATGAAACTAGGTATGTCTGGCCTATCAAAGAGAAGGATTAGGAGTGCCATGATAGCTGCATCCCAGCGCTTCAGAGGCTGTCTACAAAGGGGGTAACCCAGTCTCCAAAGAATCAGAGGGCAGGACAAGAATTAACAAGCTTTTCTGTAACAGCGTTGTTTCCTATGCCATCCATCTGGTAAACTCGCAAGATTCGGTTTTTTTGCCATGTACATGTATACATCCAAAGTAGACTGTTGTTTCTCTGTGTCATATAATATATGTGAGTATATGCATAATTTTGTATTTATTTATTTTGTCATGTTTATGTAGTGCATATTGGAGATGGTGACCCTTTGAGAGCTGTTTGCAATGAATTTTCATTTTAATGTATTAGTGTACTGATTAGTGTACATTCAAAGTGACAATAAAGTTAGTCTAAGTCTAAGAAGTAGAAGATCATCAAAGGGAGATCCAATCTAGAACTAAGGATGCATTTCCTGACACTAAAACAACTAGTCTCCAGAAGTTGTGGATGCTTTATAACTGGAGGTTTTGAACAACAGATTGGATAGCCATTTGTTTGGAATGGTATAGGATCTCCTGCTTGAGCAGGGGGTTGGACTAGAAAACCTCCAGGGTCCCTTCCAAGCCTGCTATTCTATGTTATTCTTTGTATCTCCCAATAAACAGAGGATAAGGCTTTCTACTGACAAAGTTGCTTCTTGGTTGGCCAAGCACAATTCTTCCCATTACATCCTCTAGAGGAATTATATGCAGACAGAGTGGAGCTTTCCAGCATTGCCATGCTTCCCTGGGTTTTATTTTTCTCTCTACAAGTGACCTCCTTTCAGACAAGCAAAGAGGCATGCACACAGGAGACAATCATCCTCTCTTCATTTCTCTTACTGTTAAAAAGAAACTAGGCTGTAGAAAAAGAGAATGCAGATAGCACCCTCTGCTCAGTGACTTGTCACCGCCATGTTTTTCTGTGTAAAGGATTGGTCATAGCAAGAACTGACATTTCATTCTCCCATTTCCTTCTGGGCAACAGCATGTAGGGATTCACCTCAGTGTATCAAATCTACCATAGTGTGCCATTCTGAGTGAGCATAAGAAACCCACAAAGAACAATCTTCCTCTATGTGGTCAGTCTCTCCGCCTACCATAAGGACTAAGCAGATGATGGTTATAATATTTCCAAATGCACATTTTCCTCCTCTTTCTGCCAGAGTAGCATCAACACAATATGTTTTTTGTCCAAGATAAAGGACAAGCTTTTGATTCCTATCATGCCACTGTGTGCTGGTTCAACCCTATTCAACTCTGCTGAGAGTATCATTGGATGTATTTATGTGTAGCAGGCTACTTTAAAGGAAGGATGAATAGGCCACCAACAACATTCAAACAACTACTACAGTGCTCCCCTCAAGGCTCCCTGGCATATTCTGCTTCTGTCAATCACTCCATGCTAGCCTGCAGCATTTTATCTGCTTATGTATAATAATGATTTTGAGAAAATGAAGGTATATATTTTTTCACCTCTCCTTCTGGGTTTCTTTGGAATTTGAGAAAAAAAATGAAAACGTTTCTCCCATCTGCAATGAGCTGTTCATCTGTGTTCTGAACAGCAAAGTCAATATTTTTGTAACCAATATTTTTACAGCTTAAAATGAAAAAATCAGAGCTCACAAGTCTTGTCTGGAATTATGTTTCCAATAGCAGTAGGAGAAACATAATTAAGATGTATAGCTTTTATAAATGATAGGGATTGTCTGAATGGGTTAAACTAGTGACATACTAATTAATGCAATTTAAGAAGAAAACAGAGTGTGTTTGTGTATATGTATGTGTGCGTGTGTGTATACACTTATCCATTTAAATTAACTGCTGCCAAAGCATTTGAAATTACACTGAGGGCAGATTTTATTTTAATTTATGATTAATATAATTTTGCAAGCATTCATAAACTAAAAATATTTGTGTACTTTTTACATTAAAACTAATAAATTAATTTTCAGCATGTCAATGGAGACACTAGGATTTCTGTTTCTAACTGGATTATTATAAAATCCGTGTCTCTGCTTCATATATTGTAATATGAAAGGGTGTTATTTATGTTGGGGATAAATATTATTATTATTGGCTTTTGTCTTAGCTGCCTTCTCTTTAAACAATGCTTTCATTAGGTTAAGGCATTTCTACATTATTCTAATAAATCTAATCATAGATTTTAACTTTATTTTTACAGGTGACCAGTAACTGTTTCAGCATAAGCAATGGAGAAATGCAAGATGTTGCTGTTGGACTTTATCCCAGGTACAGTGGACAAGCATTACTTTTGTGGTTCTAATGGTATCAATCTTTTTTTCTCTGTGTCTCTCTCTCTCTTTCTCTCCAGCTCTCCAGCTGAAATGTCATGTTCTACAAATACATTAAGAAATTTAACTAATATAAAACTGAATGTATGGCACTACAGTCTCTGAATTGACAGCATGTAGTGAAAATGGGGGTATGATAATTTTGAGAGTAGATTGCGTATGTCAAATGAGGCAGAATTGCATAAAAGAAGTGTGCAAATCCCGAGCACAAGAGGGCTGAGGCCAGGGGTGAAATCCAGCAGGTTCTGACAGGTTCTGGAGAACCAGTAACGGAAATTTTGAGAGGAGAACCAGAAAATTTGAGGAGAACCAGCAAATACCACCTCTGACTGGCCCCAGAGTGGGGTGGGAATGGAGATTTTGCAGTATCCTTCCCCTGCCATGCCCACCAAGCCATGCCCACAGAACCGGTAGTAAAAAAAAAATGAATTTCACCTCTGGCTAAGGCCAAGATAGAAAATGACCACTAGAGCAAAAGTTGGTCAACCCAGTGAAAACCTCAACCTTCATTTTGTTTTGCCACTTTGGCTGATTTTGGTTTTATATTACGATCCAGCTATTCTGACAGTGAATGAGAAAAGCTTTTCACCAGAGACTGCTCCTGTTTACCCTTGACTGGCATGATCAGGTTGCAGTCTAAAATCTCTAATTTAATGATATTAATTACAATTAATAAAATTACTCCCCACATATTCCTTTACATTAGAAATTACAAATGCATGGCAAATTTTGGAAAGGCAATCAAATCTATATACTTTCCTTTGATTTTGACTTTCAGTTGCCTTTTTCTTCTGGAGCAGTTTCTTTCTTTCTTGTCAATCATGTCCAATTTTTGGAGATTACCTGGACAAGTCCATGGAGTTTTCTTGGCAAGGTTTTTCAGAAGTGATTTGCCATTGTCTCCTTCCTAAGGTTGAAAGAAAGTAACTGGCCCAAGTCACCCACCTGGCTTTGTACACAAGGCTGGACTAGAACTCATGGTCTTCTGGTTTCTAGCCTGATGTCTTAATCCCTAAACCAAACTAGCTCTTTTTGCAGTATTAAATAGTATATTTTTCCCTATGTTTAGCTGCATTCTATTCCAGAAATTTAGAGATTTCCAGGAAGCATGGCTACAGCTCATTCAGCAGCGCTTTATAACTGTTTAGCAGCTATAAAGAGTTCTGGATGAAGAAGCCAGACTGTCTACTCATGCTCTGTTGAGCTTCTACTAATAGATAACAAGAAGAGTCGAATAGCTGTTTCTTTTTGTCAGGCTCCCGTAGTAATGGGAGGCAGCAACAGTTTTTCTCAGCTTTTTGGAAAGGCTTCAGGATAGGCTAAAGCAGAAAGAGTTGCAGCAGGGGTGGGTTGCTGCCAGTTTTCCTACCAATTCACAACCTGCACGCACATGCGCTGTTCAATGTAAATTGTTTTTCGCTCATGTGCAGAACAATTTACAGTGAACTGCGCATGCGCAGTCACTAAAAATCAAAATGGTGGCGGCGAAGGAACCGGTTTGGGGGCATGGTAGGCCTGGATCACTGCCAATTCTGCAACCCAAGCCCGAAGAACACTATCAGTTCGGCTAAACTGGCCTGAACTGGGAGCAACCCACCTCTGGGTTGCAGATAGGGGCCTATGGGCTGAAAATATAATGAAAGCAGCAGCAATGTAAGGAAGCATCCACAGATGTGGAGAAAGAAAGAGAGCTCAAAATGAAGCACCTGGCAAATAAAAGAGATTATCTGGGAGAATCACTCTGATGAATAAAAATTGAACACCTTCCTTCTACCTTATATTCTGCAACAGTAATATTCTGGCCTCTGAGGTCCTAGAAATTGTAATTTTCCAGGATGCCTGAGTTCTTCTAATAAATGTTGCATGTCCTGAAATGCATTTTTCCAGAATCCCTTAGGACTTATTATGCTGCTGATCAACCTTTCTCTGGATTTCCCCAAAATCACTACTGACAGTTGAAAATGAATGGGACAACTAAGAAATATACCACTCTTATTTTTGACTTTGAGTGGAGGCAGTAAAACCCCAATGGTCTTATGATGATATTAGGACAATGGGAAAAATTAAATTTTTGAATTGCACTCAGAGAAAGAAAGGGGGAAAAACTATTCCCTTATTCACATTTTACAATTCAGATCCAGATTTTAAATATAATTTCAATATCCATTATCAAACAGCTAGCTTTACTATTCTTGTGTTTATTGTTTTTATTTATTTATGTATCCAATTTCTATAGCTTCCCATCTCAGTCAATGATCCTGGGAAACTTTCAATTATAAAAAAATAAAAATGAGGTCTCCTTTATGCTCTCTGAGCTTGGCTGTTTTCTTGCAGCTGTTTTATTACCCAAAATAGGCAACATCATCAGTACTAGTAATGAGTGGGGTTTGGTCACAAGTTATATTCTAGTGCTCTGCTCTGTCATTGTTGGTGGGAATGGTCCTGTTGATTCTTAGGTTTGACTGTTTATTGTTAGCTTTGGCAGTTCCTTAATTGGGGGTATTGTTTGTTTCTTAATTGTTGGTCAAATGTTAATCTTGGTGTTAATCCATGCTTATCTGGGTGTTGATTGATGGAAAGGTGTCCTGGTACTTTGGTTGGTTGATTGTTTTTTTTTTTAATGGTGTGCGGAATTTGTCTATGTGCCTGTTGTTGGCCAGTTTGTCAGAGTACCAGGCTTCTAGGAGTTCTGTAACATTTTGGACTTGGCTTCATCTAGGATAGTCACAGTTTTCCAGTTGAAACCACAGTTAATCCTCTCCATTGTGTTGTGAAATTAAGAAGTTTGCATCATGTCTTCTGACAGCTAGTTGATGTTCACAGATGTGCTGCTAATCTTCTGTCTGTCTGTCCTACATAGTGATTTTTGCAGTCATTACACCAGAGGTGTCAAACTTACATCGTCACGACGGCATCAGATGACGTATTGGGACTTTTTTCATTTTTGCTAAACCGGGCATGGGCATGGGCATGGCCAGCACATGACGCATCCAGCCCAAGGGCCAGGAGTTTGACAGCCCTGCCTTACACTCTTTGTTGTAGAAGTCTATCCATGTGTTTTCATCTAGAAACAAAAGGCATCAAGCCCATTCTATCCGATAGAATGAACAAAAAATCCACAATGATTTGTGGCTTATATTTTATGATGAAGATAATTGGAATTCTTTCTTAACAACTTCTATAGTTTATTTATATTTAAAATGTAGTTAAATTTATTGACATTTAAATTTTATTTAGTAGAGACCTGGATGTAGAGATATCTCTGCCTTGTGTTGTGATAATTTTATTGTGCTTCTTTTATGCTTTTCTTTATTGTTTACTTAAGGTGGGCAACCTCGTGAATCAATCAATCTTTGAGTCCCTCCCTATGCAATTTTTATATCAACCTGAGAGATACTAAGCTAGATAGATTTGTAGAATAAATACTTTCCTGTATATCTATTCCTTACCTGGATTTTGTTTTTCTTCATTAGCATGTCCTTGTTGAACAACAGTTGTGATCCTAATTGTGTGGTCATCTTTGAGGGTCCCCAACTCCACCTTCGGTCCGTTCGGGAAATGCAATTGGGAGAAGAGGTAATTAATTTGTTGCTTCTTCCGTCCCAGAAACCTGCAGATTGAATATCTTGATAATATATTGATGTTATTTTTATTTCATAGCTTTCAGGAACAACATAACAAAATAAATCTTTTCTTCAAATAGTATGCTCCCCTCATCATTGCAGTGATGCTTATAAACAAAACCAAAGAAAAACTACATGTGGGTGGAATTCAACATGCAGTAAATCACTTCCACTGTAAGCATTTGTCAGACTAAAGCCATGTTGAAGCAGTAAACCTTTCCTGCAAGGAACGTATGAGGCAAAAGTTGTTTTCTCGTACATTTTATTTAAAAAGAATTACCCTTCTAAATGATTTGTGTTTTTGTCAGAGAATTTTTCACACCATTTTCTTTTCCTTTTTTAAAAGATAGTCATATCGAATGACCTGATTTTATGAACAAAATACAATATGGTGTCTGTTTCTCTCCCTGTGTGTGTCTCTTTCTCTGTGTTATCTGGCAGCCTGTTTCTAATTAAGAGGCTCCTTGAGTTTCAAATCTAATCCAAATTATACTGAAACAATTATACCACCTTAATCCAGCAGCATTATAAAACTTCATTTTTTCTCTGGCTTTTTTTTCTATATTCCTCTCCAGTGTTAGCTTTGGCAAGAGGGAAAAGAGGCAAAGAATATAATGTAGGGACAGAAATCATTGGTTACTTTGAGATAGGATTAAATTTACAGGTAATTTTGCTGATTTTATAGTTCTACAGTTCTGTTCATTTTAGAAAGCAGCTTATCGGAATCTCTTGATGTGCTGGATTAAAGTTCCTGTAGCAGGTAGAGGAAGACTGGTATATCGGCATTTTTAGCATATACTGTTCATATATATATAGCTAAAAATAATTAGATTATACTGTAAAGCTTGAGAATTTCAAAGCTAACAGCGTAGAATTAAAACCTATTAAATAAAGCTTGTCACATTTCATACCTTTAAATGAATAGTCTCTTTGAATCATCAGAGCTGACAGCCTCATACAAGAAGTTCACCACCAAACCACTTATGATTAACCCTTTTCTAGCAAGAAAAGTGCCATCATTTAAAAAAAAAACCGTAAGACCTAAAGCAGACCCTGGAAGCATTCTATTTTATAAAATTGAATCATATTAGCACTGCAAATAATTTCCTGGTCTTCTCAAGAAATGGACCTCACAACAGAAATATTTATGAAGGATGATAGTAGTTGATTTCCTAAGTTGTAAGCATACAATTAACAACTTTAATCAGGATTTTATTCACCTATAAAAGAGTGGGCAATCTGTGACCTCAGAAGCATTTGGTCTTCAGCCTAATTAGAGAATATTTTTCTCATAATATATTCAGTCCTCTGACAAAAGTAATCCATAGGGGATTTAATAATCCCCTAAACTCGGCTGAAAATGTTACCTAGTCTGATAACGAAATGTTCTGAAATCAGGCCACAATCTCAGAATATGAACCTCCACCCTCAAAGTAATCTATTTGGCCATCAGCAACTAACTGAATAAAGAGTGGTAAATATAAAGAAGGTGCTTTGGAGGAAGGGAGAGGGAAATGATCATTTTACTTCTGGCTCTATTCAGTAGTAGCTATACCAGTGGTGGGATTTAAAAAAATGACTACCAGTTCTGTGGGTGTGGCTTGGTGGGCGTGGTGTGGCTTTGTAAGCCTGGCAGGGGAAGGATACTGTAAAATCTCCATTCCCACCCCACTCCAGGGGAAGGTTACTGCAAAATCTCCCTTCCCTCTTGATCATCTGGGACTTGGGAGGCAGAGACTAGATGGGGTGGAGCCAGTCAGTAGTAGTTTTTACCCATTCTTTGAACTACTCAAAATTTCTACTACCAGTTCTCCAGAACTGGTCAGAGCCTGCTGAATACCACCTCTGAGCTATACCATGCCTAGTATGTAACCCCAGTAGTTTATGGGGGTTGTTGACAGCCCATTCTGACCTAGAGTGTTATGATTGGTAGTCACAAATCACTAGTTTTAGGTAAGTTTCATTCAAACATAGTACTTAGTTAAACCTTGCACTACACTGTTGTGAGATGGGCAGCTCTATAAATCATTTAACCAAATAAATAAATCATTAAAGAAGTAGAACACATAAATGGAATGAGATGTTATTAACATAAAATGTTGTTCTTCATCCTGAGTTCATTTGAATATAAAACTAACCTGTAGTTTATCATTAGATGAGAAAAACTGGGGTATTCTCCTATAGTATAAAAATTGTGACTAAAAGCATTTTTACCCACCCATAATTTAGTGTTGTGTCCAAATCTCAGGAATCTGTGTTTAATTGTCATTTGGGAAAGGTGGAGAATACATTCATTTTGCATTGGCACCAGGGGTGGGTTCCTCCCAGTTCTAACCTCTTCTATAGAAGAGGATCCACAAATCTACAGTGCCATTTAGAACTGGTTCCAGCTCCCTCCCCCTGCCCATCCGCACATCATCAAGATGAAGAGCGAGAATAGGAATTCTGGGAGTTGAAGTCCACAAGTCTTTAAGCTATCAAGTTTGAACACCCCTGGGGATTTTTTTCTAAAGGATTAGAGGTACAAGGGTCTTGTAACTTGACAGCTTTAAGACTTGCACACTTCAATGCCAGAGTTTCTGAGCCAACATTTTGGTTGCTAAGCAAGAGCGTTGTTAAGTGAGTTTCATGACATTTTACAAGTTGGCCATGCCCACCTAGTCACATGGCTGGCAAGCCACTCCCACCCGGTCACATGGCCAGCAAGCCACTCCCACCCGGTCACATGGCTGGCAAGCCACTCCCACAAAGCAGGCCCTAGCTATAGAAGAGATTCTAAAAAAATTGGAAACCCACCACTGATTTGCATCTACCAAATATATAGAATAATTGGAATACATACACACTTGAATACACTCTAAATTTTGCATAAATGTGCACAACCTTTTGTTAACCTTTATCACAGTTTGAGGTTAAACATGAAGGTTAATTGAAAGAAAGTGTAAGTCTCCAATGTCATTACAGATGCACCAGAAGAGGAAAAGTGAAATAAGTTTATAAGACTCAAGATGCACTATCTACTATAACAATGGACCAAGTATAAACTAAAGATAAGCATGGATTTGCAACTCATTTTCTGCTTACAGCTCAGCTTATGGGTCAGTTTAGTTTGACAGACAACAATGGTCACAGTTCTTTGTGGGTGAGAAGATATTTGAACCGTCCTTTATCTTTCTCATTCTAATTGGACACTTGCCTCTGAACATGCTTGATTTTTCTTTGTATCACAAATATATGTTCCAGAAGTCACATTTCAATCTCTAAAGTTGAAGTCCAGTAATTCTCCCTGACTCTATATTGTTTCCTGGAAATTTGCTTCAATATAGAATTATCAACTATGTCCATATAAGTTGTTTATCAGAGGTGGTATTCTGCCAGTTCAGACTGGTCCACCCAAACCGGTAGTGAAAATCGTGCACACCCACCCTGGCTCTATGCCAATTTAGGCACTTTTTTTTAGCCAAAGCGCATGCGCGGAAGAACCATGAGAACCGGTAGGGAAGGTAAGTGTTCACCCCTTCTTTAGGGTTTAAAATGATTACCTATTTTCTAATGTAATGTTGAAAAAATGTTCTACTGTCCCTCATAGACTATTATCCGGTATTTCAACCTTGGAATCCCCTCCCCCGCCCTTTTTTTTTTTTTTTGCTATTCCAATGGCTGCATAAATATTATATGCATTCTTTGTCAAAATATAAGTCTTTCTGGTCTTTGTCACCTGCAGCTCACCATCAGTTATACTGAAACTATAATGCCCACTCTGGAACGTCAGCAGAATCTGAAGCGTCAGTATTGTTTTGAATGTGATTGTGCCATGTGTTCCACACAAAGCAAGGTGAGTCAGCTAAATTTGTCTTTTGACCAGGTAATATGGGCCAATACTTGTGCTGAGAGTAGAATTAAAGCGTGCTCTAGGAATTCTTTTATTTAGTCACTTTTTCTTAGCTGTACTGGAATTTTATTATATTTTGGAACCAGAGTTCTTTATTACTATTCTTTCTTCCCATCTTTTTAAAGAGTTTTCTTCTTATTAGTTGCTTCTGCTTCTTTCATGATGTAAGAGCAAACAGTTATATTTTTTTCTTAATCCAACTTGCTTATTCATAAAAACACAGAATCCAGAAGTGCTACTTAATCTATAGAAATAGAACTTAGACTTTCACAGTACTTTACAGCACTCTCTAAGTGGTTTAAAGAGTCAGCATGTTGCCCCAACAATCTAGGTCCTCATTTTACCAACCTCGGAAGGATGGAAGGCTGAATCAACCTTGAGCCTAGTGAGATTTGATCTGCCAAACTGCTGGCAGCCAGTGATCAGCGGAAGTAGCCTGCAGTACTGCATTCTAACCACTGTACCACCGCAGCTCTTAATATATAAACATTTATATATTATATTATAAAATGCTATTTGTATTTGCTTGGATGTATATTTTTTCTCCTTCCAACAGCCACTCGTGCCTTTTTAAAATGCTGTTGATGAATATTCTATTGTATACTGTCTCATCCAGTCATTCTCAATTAATTGGCTTAAGTGAGTTAATTTGTATAATTTTATTCAAGAATGATGGAATGATTTGATTAATATTTTTGTTTTATATCTGCATGTTGATCCCATTGCTGTTTACATTTTTTCATATTGTCGGTGTTTGAAATGATTAAATTTCTATATTGATATATTAAGAGATTTAGAGTATAATCTTGTGAAACAGCCACAGTTGAATAGGATAGTTTTGATGATGATGATATCAATACATTGAATCCTTCCTTTTACATGAGAAAGAAATGAAATCATGAATCAAAAAAGACTATGTCTATATTTATCTTTAAATGAAACAATGGATGGACACTAATCAAGGAGAGAAGTAACTTGGAATTAAGGAGAAACTTCCTAATAGTGAGGAAATTAACCAGTGGAAAAGCTTGTCTTCAGAAGTTGTAGATGCTTCATCGCTGGAGTTTTTAAGAGGACATTGGACAGTCACTTGTCTGAAATGGTATAGGACAGTGATGGCTAACCTTTTTTGGCTCCTGTGCCAAAAGTGGCGGGAGCGCAGGGGGTTGTGCATGGGTATGTCACACCCATAATGCTATGTGTGCGACCCAGCGCACATGTGCATGCGACCCCAGTGTGCATATGTATGCGACCAGCGCTCCCCCCGCTTTTGGCACAGTTTTTTTTGCTTTCCCCAGGCTCCAGGCTCCAGAGACTTTATAGGAACCTGGGGAGGGTGAAAAAAGCCTCCTCCGCCTCCTGGGAAGCCTCCTGAAAAACGGCCCTACGAGGAACCCGGAAGTTCGGGAACAGTGACTTCCGGTTTGTCCATAGGGCTGTTTTTTGCTCACTGGAGCCTTCAGGGAAGCCTCCTAAAGCCTCTGGAGAGCGAAAAACGGCCCTACAGACAAATCGGAAGTCACTTCAAGGAAGCCTCTGAAGGGCGGAAAATGGCCTCAAAAGAAGGCCAAAGTCAGCTGGCCAGCGCACGCATGCACGCTGGAGGTGACAGGGCAACACCTCGCATGCCCCAACAAATGGCTCCGCGTGCCATCTGTGGCACGTGTGCCATAGGGTTGCCATCACGGGTATAGGTTCTCCTGCTTGAGCAGGGGGCTGGACTAGAAGACCTCCAAGGTCCCTTCCAGCTCTATTCTTTAGAATAGAATAGAATAGAATAGAATAGAATAGAATAGAATAGAATAGAATAGAATAGAATAGAATTCTTTATTGGCCAAGTGTAATTGGACACACAAGGAATTTGTCTTTAGTGCATATGCTCTCAGTGTACTTAAAAAGACAAGATACATTTGTTATTGAAATCCTTGAATTATTTCTTAGTTGGTCAA